TATGTGTGTATTCACAATTTGTGTTTTGTGGTTCCTTGATAAAGGATAAATGAACACACACATATCTGCAATAGAATAAAAAGCCAAGTACAATATTTTCAAATGTTCCATTGTTTTTCTTATTTCCGATCAGTTGAACGTTTTGCACTCAAGGAAGATTTAATTTGTAAATTTTCATTGGGTGGTCTGAGCGCTGCTGAACATTTTCATCGCTTCCATCGCGATTATTTTGACGACAATCGGAATCAACAGAAGATCATTTCAGTTCGAAACGTGTTTTAAAACAGATTATCAAGAGACTAATTGATACCTTTGAATGTTATATATTTATCAATCTGTCTGTTATATGTCATCATTCGAAAACGAGCGATGGTTTTGGGAATAAGTAGTACAGAAGTGAATGAAATTTACACCACCAAACACTATTTCCAAAAATGTAGAAAACGACTAAAATGTTCAAAAGTCTACGAGAAAAATTGAATAAATTTTTCGTTTAAAAAGAATGAGAACCTGGTCAAGGTGTCAATTTTGAGTTCCACTACTATATGTAGCACAGAAGGACGCAAAAACTTCAGTGAAATATAATGACACCAATTCTTTAAACATCGATTCCAGAGTAATTGAGATAAGATATTATTCTAGATAAAAATGAATCGTTTTGCTTCTAACAAATATTCGTGGAATGATCGTTGACATTATTTTTTTAATGTATTGGGTTGTCTGGAAGACAATGTAGAATTATGGTCATAAAATAGACAATTAAATGAATGATTTTAAACATCACTCTTAATACATTTCTCCCAACTTGATGACAACTTCTCTAAACCCTCGGAATAGAATTTTGACTCTTTATCATTAACAAATTCCATTTTCTAACGAATTTTGATGAATAAATTTTTTATGTTGTAAAACATTGTCATAAATAAGCCTAAATGAAGCCCACCAAACAAACAGTCACCATCAACTTTTTTTTTATTATTCGGGTAATTTGGAAAATGTGGTGCTGGTTCTCCTTTGTCAAGCCACTGTCCAAAATGTCTACTATTATCGTAAAGCATAGAGAATCCAATTTTCATCAAAAGAAACTATTCGTTCGTTTCTGTTTTTGCAATTTTTTCCACCTTTTCAATCGATTTGCTTACTGTGATTTCTTTGCATATTCTCGAATCTCGAAGAACATCATCTTGGTACGAAATCCTTCCACGACCTTTTCTATCTTCAAGGCTAAATGTTGGTAAAAATTCTTTAAACCATTTCTGAACGGTTATCTCTCCCATATTGCCATCGCCCCGACTTCATTAATATTTCTGGCCGTTTCTGAACCGTTCCGACAATGATTAAACTCGCTAAATCAGGCGTAGACATCTTACTGCTTGTAAGGACTGAAATATTCTCAAGTATCGAAATGCTACTGAGATAAACACACGTTTTTGTTTGGAAAAGGATGAAAAAGTGTTGACATTCGTACAAAAGCATCAATGTTCAAAATATAACAAACGTAAACTGTTTATGTATAGAGGGGAATTAAAAGAATACATGAAAACCTGCATTATTTTCTGGACAACTCAATTTCTTAGTTTATCAAGTAAACCTATTAATAAATAGCCAAGAAATAATTCATATTTTCAGCTAGATCAATTTCTATATTGTAATTTTCTTTTAAAAACAGGCACTTTTAAAAACTGCATTCAAATTTACCGTAAAAAATATCATAGCTTGCCAAATTAAAACTTAGTCATGCACTGGCTGGTTGTTCAGATAACACCAGTCCGAAAAATTTCGCATCATTCCTAAAAGTTACACAATGTTTTGTGTTTCGAACCTTTGACAGGGTACAGGACTTTTTAGAATTTGTTTAATGGCCATCGAGGGAGTTGCACTCGTTATATTTTACAGTATAACACTTTTTGTCGTTACGTACAGTTATTTTAAATAATACCAATTCTTTACGTTAGATATCTTTAGCAAAACTTGATAACTCCATTTCGAATTAACATCCTCTCTTTTCCTATTCCTAAAATTAATAAATGATCTGAACTTAAATTAAAATTATTTGGAGATCGTGAGATGCGGTCTGGTGTGAAATAGGTTTAGAAAAACATTTTCTTTATATCGGTATTTTATCTTCGATCTTTATATAGATATCTCACTGCCCCTTCAACATGACACACAGCAATGACACATCTACACAGAAAACAAACACTTCGAGCCCTGAAGATGATCTCAATAAAGATCGAAACGTTGGCACGATAAAGAAAATAATTTTCTTAACCTACATCACACCAGACCGCATCTTACGATCTCCAAATAATCATTAAATAACGGTCACTTAATACCACATATTTCAATTAAAATATCGGATAGCTTACTAATAGAACATAATAACAATAATTTCACAAAAAAATCGAAACGATTCGTCAATTCAAATATACACATACATTTTCCTACGATAATATAGGTATAGGTTGGACGACAGGTGAATTTTTTATGGTGAATGCCGAATTTTTAACGATAAAAGGTGGTACTTCGGCCAGTCGGAGACGCTGCTTGCATAATTTAAGCATTGTGTTGGATATTTCCAACCATAAGATACTATGTTTTCACGGCGACGAATTAAAGAGGTATTATTTCTCTCTCACCTACTCTCTCTCTATTTCTCTCTCACCTACTCTCTCTCTTTCTCTCTCACCTACTCTCTCTCTCTCTCTCTCTCTCTCTCTCTCTCTCTCTCTNTCTCTCTTTCTCTCACCTATTCTCTCTCTCTATTTCTCTTTCACCTACACTCTCTCTCTCTTTCTCTCACCTATTCTCTCTCTCTCTCTCTCTCTCTCTCTCTCTCTCTCTCTCTCTCTTTCTCTCTCGGAAATTTAACTGCAGATCAGCTTGGTAAATAAATTTAATTTATTTTGACTTAATTTAAAATAATTTAATAAGTTAAATTTCCCTTGTGTAATCGTTTGCTTCCGTCCATTCTCGCCTTGTATTCCTTCATTAGTAGGATGGAAAAAAGTGATTAAATTTGAAAAATAAAATATAAAATGGCGTAAAAAGTGAAGATCCTACAAAAGAACTAGAGTTATGTTTTGTTGATAGACAAAATTTTTACAATTTATAAGTTGATGATAAGCACTGATGATACACAAAAGAGGATATAGTTTGCATATTGTTCATTAAAAACAAAAATTACTTACTGCATCTAAAATCACAAAAATATATCAAATAAATTTCGTAAGTGTTAGTTTTAGATTTACAAAAAGAATTTCTCTTTCTCACTCTCTCCTTTACAACCTTTCTCTAATCAAAGGAAAAGAGAAAATAATTCACTTGCTGTTTGTAAAAATAAAAATTTACTTTTAAATATAAAAATTACGCGAACTTCTTATGATTTTAATAAACGTATTGTGGTTTTTCTCCGGTTCTATGATAGATGTATCCGCTCATCTCGTTCGGTATGTCATGGCTATCATCGTGTAGTACGTGATTCTTAAATTATTTTTTAAAAAGTAACATGATGCACTACGCTTGTAAACAAATGTTATCTTAAAAGATTTTTAAAAAGTAGTAAAACTCACGGGTTACTTCAATTTAAATCACGTTTTGTTGCTAAAACATTTGAACAACAGATAAATAAAGCGTTTTTCGGTTGATCTGTAAAGAAATTGAAGAAAAAACAAAAAATGAATTATTGTATAGTTGCATTTGCAATTTGAAACTTTTAAGGTTGTTAGTATCTGTTTGATTGCAATTAATTTCTACAATTTAATCTCCTAATGAAAGCCAATATGTTCTATTTCTTAATTAAAATGTTACAATTTTAAAAATGATTCTGACCTTTTTAACAGTAACGTTGGAACTGAATTAACTGCACAAATATAACGCTTTTTGTTACTATTATTATTGTTAACTTTAAACTCTAAAAACATCAATTTAACACACAAAAAAATTAGAAAACAAACAACGCATAAAAATAACAGACTGATTATTATTGATCCAAATACATATCACAAGCAATGGCTGAGAGAAGGGGCATAGTTCATCTGGTATGATCAATTCACAAATGAAACTATGTACCAATTTTTAAAAAAATAAATTATTTTATTAATTATTTTAATATATATAATTTTATTAGTAATTATTTTATTAATTTTCACATCCTACATGTATCTGTAAAATTTAAACAATGTTTATAAATCCCAAGCCATGAAGATGATCTCAATAAAGATCGAAACGTTGGCACGATAAAGAAAATGTTTTTCTAAAACCTGCGTCACACCAGAGCGCATCTCACGACCTCCAAATAATCATAAAGTTTAAATCATAACTACTCTGCTTCAAAATTATGAACAAAAACTATATAATGAAATATAAAAACAAACTAAACTATTACAGAATAACCTATCTCACTATCCTTTAATACATTTCAAAAATAGCAACATTCCTAAACTCACCAATTAACTTCAATAACTGGACGGGCTGGTCGGGGGTGTTTTTGCGGGAATCCTGCGGTGCCCACAGCATGCCCTGCACCTCAAGGGATGTGGACGTTTCCATAGGCAATATTGAAAATGGTTTTCATCCACATCCGTGACGAGGAGCTCCGCAATTTCTCAAAATATATTAAATGCAAAAGAAACGGCTAGGGAACGGTCCATCCGCTGGACATATGCCTTGTTCTTGATAATTTAGTTTCACCTGGGAGGCGTATATGATACTTTTTGCAGTCTAATTGAAAAGTTGTGATTTGCATACTGTTCAATTTATATTCCAGCCATAACGGAAGTACGTGCAACGTAATAAATTGCATTATAAATCCTAAACAATAATTTATAATAGCGACACTCTATCAAGGATCCCCCTATCTTGTTTGCTTTGTTTCCATATTTGGGCTAGCGGTTTGCACAAACAATCCTTGACCCGCCTATTTTTCGATTTCGAAGGTTTTCTAAAATTTTTTAACCGAATTCATATTTTCCGTAATTGTGTGACTTTTCTTTTTACAGGTCAAAAGCGTGGAAATTGTTAAAGCTTTCATAAACAGAATAGAGGATGTCAATCCTATTATAAACAGGTACGGAGTTCTTTGTTAATTAAATGAAAATTAATTTGCTAAACTTTTTTTTTACTCAGCGTCGTGGAAGACAGATTTAAAGAAGCTATCAAAGAAGCGGAAGATGTGGACGCGATTATCCGGGATAGCAAAGATCTGGATCGATTGTTCGAAGAGAAGCCTCTCTTTGGCGTCCCATTGTCTGTAAAAGAGACAGTTGCAGTCAAAGGTTAGTGTCAATGCCATATCCTTGAGACTGGTGCGTTTTTAAAAATGCACTTGTGCTACGTTCATTTCGATGCAAGGTGAACGGGAGAGAAAAGAACAAAAGTCTGATTGCAGCTGAATCGCATCTGGTAGCCTTGTAGCTGTCTTCTTTGTGATATCGTAATTGAGAACTTTGAAGGGCTCTGTTGTATTTTTCAATAATGGAATTAAGAAGGTCACTGGTCGATACGAACTGCACATGTTGAAGTTAAAAAACAGACTCCATCTTTTATATCTATTTTCTTGGCATTGTCAGAATGGATAGATTTGTGGTAGGAATTCCCACAGTGTTGCCCATGAAAGTGACATTGGTACAGCATTTCTCCCCTACTTTATTTTTATTTATTTTTTTTTTTTTACGAGGGTTCGCAACACAGAGGTCATATAAACCCTCAGGGTGCCGGTACTTTGAAAAAAGCCCATTTGTAAGTATGTCAGGTTCGAATGCACGGCTGCTGGATTCGAACCCGGGACCTTTACCTTAAAATAATGAGCGCCGTGTCAACGCCTAAACCGTTGCGACCACCGGCGCCCCAATCCCTACTTTATTTATATGCATTAATTCGTTTTTCAATTATTAACTAAAATTAATAAAACCACATAAAGAAAAAAATAAACTACAATTAAAATAATTACTACAAATGCATATAAATTACTACAAAATGCAACGATTAATTTTGAAATATAGAAAATTATTTGAATGATTCAATACACTGATTACTGATTATTTATATGAGCTCAAATCTGCGTTGACAGAGTAGAGCCTTTCACTTTGCGCAGTCCATCGGCAATTTTTTGTGTAATTTACACTAAATTACCGAAAGGCCACTGGAATCACCTCCCTGGGGTGTTGGCAGTCCGGGGTCAGACCTGTCTTATCCCTCCAATCACCGATGTTAGGATCCGGGTGCAAACAACTGCTAGGTCATTCCAGCACCCAAAGTTTTTTTAATGATTTGATTTTCAAAATCCAAACTCATTCACTCTCTCGCTCACTCTTACTATTACATAATTACATAAAATTCACTCAGGGTAGTAGAGTTACGACTCAATATTCTTCTATCACCCTTTACACCTATTACATATAACTAATCTAATTGAAGTTCGATAGGTTACTCAATATTCCAGCATTCTCCCTGCCACGTACATTCACTTTCAACATACACTAAGGACACAAAATTATTATTACTATACACAATAATGTAACCTTATTTCCTCCAAGGTTTTCAAATATAAATAAAATAACACCTCTAACATAATATAAACAATTTGCCTTTAGAATAAATAATAGCGTCCCCTCTCTCTCCCTCCCTCCCTCCATCCCTCTCTCTCTCTCTCTCTCTCTCTCTCTCTCTCTCTCTCTCTCTCTCTCTCCCTCTCTTTTTCTTTCTTCCCACACTCAGTTCCACTGTTTTACCTTTTTTCCTCTAGTTTGTCGATCGCTTTCGTTGTATTTCTCTCAGTTCTTTCAATTTCCTTTTTTTATTTCATTTATATTTTCCTGTGGTTTCCCCGTTTCCTTGAATCACTATTTCTCTTTTCTGATTCCCTCGTTCCCAGGTTACTTTTTTCCATTATTATTTTTTTAAGGTAAATTTATTAAGATTACATTTAATTATTTTGTAGTAGATGAGTGTTTACGTTTATATATAGAATGGATATTTTATAATATTACATTTCTAAACGATTTTTTCTTTTTTTTCAAATTTTTTTCTTTTTTTTTAATTTATGACCCTAATTTTTTCGACATTTAAAATAGCTACATTTTCGTCACATTAAAAGCAGGGTCTGGGGAGATTTTTTTATTATTCCTACAACCACTATCGGTTTTAACAGTCACAATTGAACATAAACAATAGCGATAAATACGAATCGATGTTAGCCAGATTAGATAATTCTGCAGTAGCGACGCGTAAAGAAGGCCGGTCTGTTCCCCTCAGCTCTCGCCTAAATCGGTCAGGGCCACCGATTCGAACTTGATCCTTGGTTTTACACGTGTCACGCCCAACTCAAGGATTTATTTTATAAAGATTTATTTTATATTTGTAATTCGGTGGGAATAGAACAACACTGGGTCGGTGGATTGTCAACAGTTCAAATCTTAATAACATGTGCTCCCTTTCTCAAGAATATAGCATTCACCATTAAGACCTGCCATAGGAATCCTTAGTTTATATAAACCATGGAAATTTTAACTTATTTTTCTTCCACTTACATCATGTCTCAAACCTGGGTCGATCTTTAATTATTCATTTTAACCCGCTCGTGACACTGACTTTTTTTATCTCAACTAAAAACCTTAATTAACTGAAAGATATTAATTGGTCAAGAGGATCACGAAAACTAGTGAATTTAATAAGTTAAATGCACTAAAGCTCTCCGTGGCCATTTCATTTGTCGCCGAGAATCAAATAGATTACACGACATTTGAAAAATGGCAAAAAGGAGGGAAAATTCAAAAGGTGCGGTTGAGATGGGACGTTGTTGTCCGAGTGGATCGAGGTCACGATAGCTCAAGTTGTAGAACAGCGGCGTATCTAGCCGAAGATCGTGGGTTCGAATCCCGCTCGTGACATTGACGTTTTTATCTCAACTAAAAACCTTAATTAATTGAAAGATATTAATAGGTCAAGCGGACCACGAAAACTAGTGAATTCATTTTAACTTATAAAAACTCTATTAACAGTTTAATAATACCAGATACTATTTAATTTTAGATTAAATATTAAAGATAATTATTCGAAAAAACTATCCAAATAGTGTGTTAAGAAAGGTCTACGTGTTTTTGCTCTAACGATCTTAATTACTGATTTATATGACACCATGCCACTTCGACCCTACACTCGACGCCCTACAGCCTCTTGCACCATAATTTCGCAAAGTAGTTTGCCAAGTGCCCTGCTTTCATAAAATGTGTCTTGAACGGAAAAGACAAGAACACATTCAACCTTAAGAAAGACAGTAATTCTTGAACTTACCAATCCAATTATTTAATAGTTTGCTCCAACCTTACCTTTTTTGCGAAATCTGTACCTGTATCTAGAGCAACAAACAAATGGAATATATGTTATGTTATTTAACAAAACTGAGAGTAACAAAAATCGTGTAAACAACAAATATATATATACTCTGTCAGTGATCAGACTTAGCTGAGCTGACATAAGAGCGGCCAATGAGTGGGAGGGGTGCCAAGGGGTGGCTAGCAAAAGATTGCGAAAGTGAGTGTGATTCCTGCCACCCTTTAATTAACATCGACAAGTATTGTGTGTGGAATTGGTATAATCAAATATTTATAATTTGAACTAGATCCATTTAATTTTAAATTCAATTCGGTTCCATTCAATTTGTTTTTCTTTCTGGTTTTATCCAATAGGTGAAGGTTTCAAATTTTATTATATTTTTCCGATTCTTCCTTCTCTTTTCTTCGTGCGAAGTGGACTGCCTCTGGCTCCCTTCTCCGAAAATAAAGCTTCTATTCCTCGAGAGCCAAAGCCAGTTACACAACAAACACATACAAATGTACATACATATATAACATTAAAAATTCAAATGGTATGAAGCCGACCCCAAAGCAGACCTAACTTAGTAGTTATTAAACCAAGGGGCTGACCACTGGCGTCTTTTACATTCCGCGGAATTTTGTAGGGTGCATATTTGTTGGACAAGTGGGTTAGGAATTATACTTATGAGTTATAAAATTATATGTAACGGAAAAGAATGAGTTTTTTAACAAAAGGAATTTGGCGGTTCGTGGTAAGATTCGATACATGGTAAGGATCATTCTTGATTTTATGAAGAATTTTTGACTGATGACCTATTCCGTAGGTCCAGATAATTCGACTATTGTCTTATATTTTTACAGTTTGTTTATTTTTTGATCGTTTGCCTAGCATAAGTGTAAGAAGATCGTAGCGTTTGTTAAGTGTTTTTTCAGACAAGTGTGGGGTTCAATGTCATTCTTCATCATTCGAGAAACATGTCTAGATATTTTACTATTTCTCAGCCGGTATAGAGTGTTCTTAGAGTTTGGGAAATATCGCACGGCAGAGGGTAAAGCGTGGGTAAAGCCACAAAATCGGTGGCGCGGCGCGAGCCGGAGGAAGTTGCCAGTCTTCTCGAACCCGGCTCCGCGCCGCGCTACTGGTAACCGGCCTAGTGTGCGCCGGGGTAGTCGGAAATCGTTGAGTTCGGGTATATTCGGCTGCCCTCGGACGCCATATTTGTAAAGACGAAGCCAATGATAGAAATGATGGAAGATGGAGTGAGTGCGGTGTTCAATCCTTTCTTAAAAAGATAGTTCCTACTCACCGTAAGTTGTTTTCCAGCGATCCGGATTTCGAGCCCTTAGCTCATCATCAGGTCAAAGGATTTATACAACCAGGACTTAAGTCACTTTTGCAATTCATGTCGAGAGACGTGGTTGTAGAAATCCTTCAACCTGATGATGTCGAAACCGGTTCCTGCATAGTGTGCGGACCTTCACTATTCCGCGCGCCGCGCCGACTAGTGCGCGCCCAGCTTAAGTTTGCCAGGATTCATTTATTTTGATTAATTTTTATTTTCCATTTTTGGTACATTAATGGATATCGTTTAGAGTGTTGGAGGCAACTTTGTTTGTGTTTCGCTAAGAGGAAAGGATAAATGTGTCGTTTGCGAATGTAGCAAAGATTGTGTTAGGATTTAGAGGGTTATCGGCAGTATGTATTGCATATAAGAGAGTACCTACGATGCTTCTTTGTAGAACTCCAGCCCTGAAAAGGAAGAAAGAGGAAACATCTGCACATTGTCCAATTAGTAGTACCTATCGGACAGGTAGGATCTTAGATTCAGGTTGTTAGGAGAAGAGCCTTTAACCTTGAGAGAAGCTCCAAATTTAAATTTTCCATTAAACCATCATATTGATGCATTTTCTTGTTAAAACCTATGTTGTAAAAGGTAAAGCTTAAGAATTTCTTATGGCTTTCCAGTTTAATTTTATGGTCTTTGAAGCATGAAGTGCAGATTAAACAATTATATTATACAAATTTGATTTCATGGTGCAGTACAATACTTTTAAGATGAAGCTTATAGCAATCTGATTGTCAGTTTTTGATTTATTCATTTTTTTAGGCATGAGCAACAACAGTGCAAGAAGCAGAGTTAGCAGCAATATCGCGGAAAAGGATGCGGACGTTGTTCACCGTTTGAAAAATGCAGGTGCCATACCTTTGGTCGTGACTAACACTCCAGAACTTTGCTTCTATTTCGAAACTTACAACTCCCGAACGGGGCGTACCGTGAACCCATACGACACGAGAAGAACGCCCGGTGGTTCTTCAGGCGGTGAGGTACTTCAAAAGTCTCAAAATTTGATTATTGACTATGGCATTTATGATTCTTTTCAAAATATAGGCTGCTATCATCTCCTCGGCAGGTTCCGTGATCGGCATCGGTTCTGACATAGCAGGCTCCATTCGTATTCCGGCCAGTTTTTGTGGAATTTTCGGTCACAAACCAACACCCGGTAATGCTCTCACTTTTGGTTGGTTATCTGCTAAATTTAATCAATGATTGCCAACATTTTCAGGCTACATATCAAACGACGGTCACATCCCTACGAGTGACGATCCAGACTGGAACAAGTACTTCACTCTCGGCCCGCTAACCCGGTACGCCGAAGATCTTCCGCTTATGATGAAAATAATGACGAATAGACAAAGATTTGAAAAACTGAAGTTTGATGAAAAAGTTGATCTGTCTAAAATCAAAGTTTACTATATGTACGGAGAAGGACCAAAATCCCTACTTCAAGATGCTCCTATATTTTCTGTTAAAAAGGCCGTTAAAGAAGCTGTAGACGGACTTGTTAAACATTTAAAATGCCATAGCGAAAAGGTGAAGTTTATAAATTGTTTAAACTGACTAGAATTAATTAAACTTTCTTTGTTGTTTAGGTTCAATTGGAATGTCTTAGAAATTCTCTACTTCTTTCAACGCTTATTATGCGTATGAAGGGCATTGAAAACGTGCAACAGCGCGATGAAAATCCAGATGTAAGTCTTGGAAGAACGAAAAAAAAGAACTATACTAAATATTTTTGCCTATTAGAACTGGGGAATAGTCGATGTCGTGAAAGTAATTTTTAAGAAACTGACTTTACAAACAAGTGCATCTATTTCTCTTGTCCTGTGGGGTCCATTGAAGTATTTCATCAACAGATTTCCGCAGCCATACAGAGAAAAGGCAGAAAACAAGCAGCGGTATTGCAGACAAGCACTCCAGGTGATTAGAAATTGGTTTCTCATCAAAATTTATTGTTATTCCTTCCATTATATTTAGTGGTCTGATTGACCAAATTACTTCTCTCAATTAATTAATCTTTTTATGTAAGGTTTTGGTTGAAATGAAAAAGTCACAAGAGGCTCAATAGCCACTGCTCTAACCACTTGAGCTATCATGACTTCGATCCATTCAAACCCCCCCCCCCCCCATTACAACCTACAACACATTTTCATTTCAGCCAAAACTTTGTATAAAAAGATTAATTAATTGAAATTGTTATTACAGTTAACAATAAAAATTGCCTAATAAAAATAATTTCAGAAACTGCTCGGAGATGATGGTGTTCTTATATATCCGACGTTTCCCTGGGAAGCTCCATTCACCGACACAATGGGCTATCAGGTTACTAATGTGTCGTATTGTACTCTGTTCACTACAACTGGCCTACCAGTTTCACAAGTACCAATTACGCTTAACAACGATGGCCTCCCCATCGGTGTTCAGGTACGTCATTAAAAAAATAATTAATTTAAGGAATATTAAAAATAAAATAAAACTGTATTTGTTAGGTAGTGGCTGGACCGCATCAAGATAGACTGTGCATAGCCGTAGCTAAAGCACTCGAGAAGATCAAAGGTGGTTGGGTCCCACCACCTGAAATTGGATAAAATCTTATTATTATTTTTTTATCAAGGACTTTTATATAATCAGTATTAATGTTAACAACTATTTTTAATACAATAATTCATGTTATTTGGCCCATGACACTCATTTTTAATGAGATAATTTTTATACGGAATTGTGTTTTTATTATAAAATAAAATTTTAGGTTATGAACAGTGATGTGTTTATAATTAGTTTTACTACACATCAGTGATGATGTTTCAACACACACTTTCAAACCATCTGTGTAATGAGCTTATAAAAAATTGCATGATATGAAAAGATGACATTGTATGACTAAATACAATAGCTTGTTTATAACATAAAAGGAAAAAAATTCTTTATCATGCATATGAGCAATTTTTGTGTGTATAATTTTTTAAAAATTAGGTTCTGTTATGTAATTGTATTATATAAATAACTATATATTTTATTGTATAAACTATAATATTCATTTTATTATATTTATGTTTATATTAATGTGCTTATCTTCTCTATCATATGATACGTACAATTACTTTATAAAAATATATAATTTTTGGCTTGCTAAACTCAAATTTGGTTTTGTCTTAACATTAGATTTTTTTAGTTAAATTAATGTACATCTGAATTTTTCAATATACAAATTTTTTTTTGAAAATTGAAAATTTTTGTAGGAAGTATTTTTACTTTCATTTTCAAATTTCATAAATGGTATAAATAGACTGAATTATTCCATATAAGTTTAGCAGTCATTATTGACCATAGTAATTATTTTAATTAATTATTCTTTTTATCTAAGATTGAGATGAAAACGTTAGTGACATGAGTGAGAGACCCACAATCTTTGGCTCAATACGCTGCTCTAGCCATTTGAGCTATCATGCCTTCCATCCACTGCAGTTCGAATCCTGCTCGTAACTTTTTTATCTCAATAAACCTTAGATAAAAAGAACAATTTTTTGAATTATGTTGTTTTTCGATCAATCCAAGCTGTTATTCGATGTGTTATACCGCCACCTAATATCAATGGTTTCAGTTCCTATTCACTACTGAATATTGATCAACTTGTTATTACATGTAATAGTATTATATTCTACAATACATATTATTACACAGAATTGTATTTGTGCATGAGACAATGAGTATTATAAATTGATGGTTGCTAAATTCCAATAATTTTTATAATATTTGTCACATATGTTATGGTTTGCAAAATTTCTGTGATGCATTGGCTAAGAAAAATTAAATTAATAAAATGATTGTTAATAATTACACAGTCCATTTTAAACCATTTACCAATCCATGTAAAACAATGGATATCTCAGCATGTTATTAATAAAGTGAACATATAATTATTTTGAGATTAATCTGTATGGTCTGATTTCTGTAATTTGCTCACTACCAGTTATCCAGGTCAGTTTATTGTCGCTGGGTTGGTTTGTCAGACCTTTTTCAGCATTTTGTCTTATCTAGGATGATTCCCCTTTCTTTGCAAATAAAAGAAGATCGTCAATTTTGTAACAGGATCATCCGCCTCCTATTAATTGATCAAAATTAAAAAACAAAATATATGTAAGGCTTTTAACTTTTAAAGTCGAAATTATTCAAAAAGAAAAATAATTAACAATAATGGTTTGGCTCTTACAATCTCAATTGGATGAGGAAAGACATTGTGATGACCTGATGAAAAGGTCGACCAGCTAGAAAAACACTCTTCCAAGGACAAAGACATCCAGGGCGAATTAGAGATGAATGCATTGCAGGATGGCGGAGAGTAGGTGGCGAGTCAAGAAGGTGCGATCGACAATGCCCCTGTCATCGTCAGGGGTATCAGTGACAATAGAAAAATTAATGATAATACTTCTATTATTGTCCACGTGTTTACAACTCTTGCTCTCACTAATTAATATAAGAACTGAACAAAACATTTCTGTTTTCCCAGGGCAGTGTGGTCATGGTGCAGTGCAGGAGTAGCTGAAAATTTTCTTTATGAGTAACAGCTCTCCCTCGCGGCTACCACCACACCCCTAGCTACAGAAAAAGGAAGAAAGGAGAACAAAAAAAAGATGAGAGACATACAGTAGTGCCATATGCAAATTGTTTATCGAAGCTCTATAAGCTTGTATCTAAAGTCCTGATGTACTTTTATTATTCAGTTAATAAAACATATCAAAACAGTCTCGTGGTTACTTTCTCCCTCATGTAAGCAAAATTTACTTTGGGATACTTCAGACAATATGGTGTTTGAATTGCCTATCTGAAATCTTCTGGACTAATCCTAAAGTGAGGCAAAGGCGCCTACTCAGCCTGACTTTGTTTTCGTTACATATTAACAATGAATGAAGTTTAGCTCTGTAACACCTATTTATAAGAGCAGTGACAAGACAAATGTTAAAAACTATGTCCCATCAATATCATTTGCCCAATAGCGAAAGTATTTGAATCTATACATCAACTTGTGTCTCCAATTATTATCCAGCAACAACATGGTTTTGTAAAAAATAAATCAGTATCCACCAAACTTTTAATCTATCGTTAACTACATTTGATAAACATTGTTATGTCGATTCACACAGAACTTGCAAAAGCGTTTGACACTGTCCATCTTGGCAGTTTGATTGCAAAGTTGCAGGCATATGGTTTTTTGGAAGCCTTCTCTGTTGGTTTCACTATTATCTGGAAAATAGATTCCAGATAGGCAAAGTTAATTTTTCTGAATCCTTTAAATTTACTATTTCTTCAGGAGTTCCTCACGACACTCACTTAGGGCCTATTTTGTTTTTATAAGTGACTCTGTGCTTGATAATATACATTTTCCTCTCTTTGCTGATTACCCTACAAAATCTATACAAACCTCTTTCCCGATCGCTTAATGCTCCAAAGCAGTTTATATTCTCTTCATTCTTGGTGTTTAAATAAAAATCTAAATCTTACTATTTCAAAATGTTTCTATATCTGCTTCTCAGGATTCAATAATTCTATTGCACTACTCTTACACAATCATGACACTGCCTCAATTCGGTTAACATATTAAAGACCTCAATATCTCGTTTGACCAACAGCTAACGTTCAAAAACCACATTTTAAGTTAAGATTTATGACTAATGCAGTGTAGTCATATTATTTGAGATTGAATCTTAAACCTGACAAAGTGCATGGAACAAAATAAAATAGAAGTGGTCAGTGACTAAAATACCTGGGCTCCCCATCACTATCGATGACCAACCACATTGGTGCAGAAATCAAAGAGAGCATAAATGAGTTTAAATAGTGTTTGGGCATCATCTTATTGAAAATAACGACATTGAGCACTTAGTAAAACTAAAAGTATTTAATGCGGTGAGCAGGTTGATACTCTGTTATAGGGACAAGGTCTGGGGACAAGAAATGTATCAAGACTTGAAATAAGTGTTGCAATTTTTTATTAAAAAATAGTAGAGCCTACCTCAATACACACCTTCTGTTTTTCTTTATTGTGAAATAAATCTATTGCCCATTCGATTTTACAACATAAAATTACTTTTTAATTATATAATAAAAATTATTTTGCTTCCAGATCATAGATTACCAAAAATCTAGCAACTGATATAAATAAAAATGAATTATACTGTTAAAAAAAATTAATAAATACATAAATTATGATGATCAATGATCATATGTTTTAAATATCATAAAAAGCATGTTTACAAAGATGAAAAAAAAATTTTTAAACAAATAAAACAGAGATTGTTCCTCTAAAAGTAGAGATTTAAATTTTAGTTTAGGAAATAGTTATTAGTTTTAAGGTACCAACTTTGTTGCTGAGTGATGTTAGATGGAAATAAAACATAGAGGAGACCTTTTCAATTTAAATTATAAATGTACTCAAAAGCAAAAAAGTTTGTTTTTTCATGGTTTTCAGAAACTTATTGATGCTATATTATGATATAACAGCAACCAACTCTCCGTTTATCCTATTGCTAGCCTCTATGAACCTCAGGGCCACATCATTCATGTATAAAAGTACACAAACAACAAACTCATACACAAAAAGATAACTAAAACATACTAGTGTGGTTAGCATTCACTTTAGCCCAGAGTTCTCTATATCCCTTGGGGTGATTGGAGATATACTCCGCCCTTCACGCTAGTAAATGTACACACCACAATTCATTCACTCTACTCCAAAGTATTCAATATTCCTAAGGGTATTTGGGGATAATCCATTCCATTTACTTGTGTAAGTACATTCTTTCCAATAAATAACACATAATTCAGGCATGAATGTTCAAAGATCTATATATAATTAGAAATGTTTATGGTCCATTGTTTAATAAACATAATTGGCATAATTTTTTTAAACTACAATATTGGAAATAACTGCCAGTAGATATTGGAATGTTATTGATCCAGTAACTAAGCTAGATGTCTATTTTTATTTTATAAAGTTCAATACTGGCCTTGATTATTTTTTCATATGAACAAAGAGAAAAAAATCAATGACAATTTTATTGCCTTACATACAGAGAAACCAAACAGTTTGTGTTTTGTTTTAAGAACTAAACGTAGTATTCTGTGTTGTTTGTCAAATAAATTTTCATAAGATATAAACAGTAATGTCAGAATATTCTTATAGGTCCAAATATAAGTAATGATCGAGAAAATTGTGTGATTGTGATTAAACAGTCCAGGATGATCAGAACTGACCAAACTACAAAATCAGCAATACTGATTATTTCACTGCTGTATAAGGCAGAAATGATCAATCTTCATAAGTCTTGTCAACTTTAACATAAGCACACTATAAGAATTTTTATTATTCTATTTTTAAACATGATTCAATTAGGACGTTGTGTTATTCCTACCTAATTTATGCCCATATCCTGTGGGATTCTCTTTCTCACTCTTTCTACCAATCCCATCTCATTATATCTTCAAGTATCTTCTCTTTGATTACTTCTTGTCCTTTCATCTTGGCACCAAAAATTTTTAATTTTTCCATTTTAGTTTAATTTACACTGTAGAATATATTTATTTTACGTATACAGATTTGTAAAAAGAAATATTTTGTAATACCTTATTAGGCCTGAATCCTTGTTGGAAGGATTGTCCTCATAATCAATTAATCTAGGGGATGTTGAGCCCCAGAAAAAACTACATATATTTTTCATTTAGGATAAAATTATAGAGAATTTGACACAGCTTCTTTTTGTTATTTTATTATTATTATTTTTTATTTGTATGAAATGTGTACGTACAACTAGAACAGCATTCCACATGCAACAAACAAATGATTATACTATGTTGATTAACAAAATTGGCTAATTTTCCATTGGAGGTCATATCACATTTCTTTAAGTGTACTTCATATTTTTTCCACTAGCTGGTCATGGTTTCTATGGTCTTATATTTTTGATAAAGTAACCTCACTGTCAGTTTTTAACACAGCCGTTCTTTCCTTTACATAATAAATATCTTCTTTAAACCAATGCAGTGATTCGAAAATTGCTAGTAATTCAGCCTAGTTATTTGAGCAACAATCCGCTAATTGAAGTTTTTTCTCTATTTTAATGATACCTCCAGTTAAACTTACAAAAGCACAGCCAACTGCATTACCTATTGTACTACCATCCGTGAAGATTTTATGGTGTGCACTTTCTAGGTTGGCAGTATCCGACAAAATGTTCTCTACTTGAAGAGGTTGAGACCATTCAACAAATTATGTAGGCATTTCTAATTCGTATTTTGGCAATGTGATTTTGCTCTCCTGCATACGTTGAATGGATCTGCACGATTTCCGGCAATTTGATGTCAATTGGCAGAAATCCTGGCAAGTGAGAGAGGGTGAGAGGGAGAGACGACTAGAGGGATGGTGAGTTGAGTGAGAGAGTGGGAAAGAGAGGGTGAGCGTGATAGAGAAAGAGAGCGCGAAATGACCTTAGCCGTTATTGTGTCAATATTGAAAATTTTAAGTCCAGGTAGAATATCTAATTTAAAAAAAATAGTGAGTGAGTGAAAGAGATGCGAATGAAGAGGGTGGGAGGGGGAGATGATAGGTAGGTAGGTAAGTAGAGAGGGGTGTGCAATCCTCGCCAATTTTCTTTCCAGTTCCCAGCCAATGCAGCACCTAAACCCTCAACATAACCAAGGCCATGGATATTATGATGGCTTAGATTACCTAGATACCTGCTGGTTTCGGCCGAACCTTTTCTATCGGCGGCTGGCGGATATCACTCCCGTGATTTGAAATTAAAAGAAAACTAAACTGAAAATAACTTTCAAGCCTTGAAGTA